CACCCCCACCCCGAAAACACTAACTCTATATGGTCGATTTGGTCAGCAGGCATGCAGGGGATGGCATTTCTGACTCTGATGGGAGAATGGAGTAGAAGCTAGAATGGTCTTGTGTCCAATTTCTTTGGTTTCAACTTTCTTCCATTCCTTAATTTTTCATCTAATGTGTGATTAAATTATTCTATGCATGGATCCCGGTATGAAATAACTCACAATTAATATATTACTACTAGTTGAGTTCTACCATTTTCCTTAGCTTCCTTCACTGTGATTGTATGTATGTGAAGTTTGTTGTTGATGCTATTACCCTATATATACCAACAGGCATGACTATTGTAAGTTGTGTAGTCCTTGATGTTAACAGAGTAAAGAGGTTACATAATTGGTACATATGGGGCTATGTGCCACTAATGCTCAAGAAATGGCTGGCGCCTTTTAATGAGTGTTTGCTACGTAGTACTAGTATTTCTTAAAGAAAAGCAATTTTCAAATTTTTGTTTTAAATTAAGTTAATAAGTTCCGTAGAAATTTTCGAAAAAGAAAAAAAGGAAAGTGCTATATCCGTAGAAATTACAGCAATAAATACACGAGAAAATTGTCCAACATAGGACTAAAATTCAACCTTTTTTCTCAAAATAGGACCACATGCATGTTTTTCTCTAAATAGAACTAAACTTACCTTTTTTATCCCTAATTCTATTTAATTAATTAATTGATCTAAATAATTGCCCCCTAGTTTCCTTGCATAACCAAGGTAGTTCGTCGGTGGCGGGGCAGTCCGTGGCGGCGGCAGCACTCCGGCAGCGGCCGGCGGCGGATTCCGGTGGCGGCGGCGGCAACTCCGGCAATTAATTAACCCAATTAATTGCCCCCTCCCCCTGCACAACCAAGACAGTCCGTTGGTAGCGGGGCAGTCCGGAGGTGACGGCAGCAGCGGAAGAGGCGGTTTCCGGCGGCGCCGGCAGGTGGCGGCTGAATGTTGGCAAACCTCTAGAAAAAAAATCTGGAATTTTTCCAGCGGCGGTCGCCGGAGCTCTGGCGCCGGCGGTGGCAGGCGGTGGTCCGGCAGTCCCTGGGCAGCAGTGGTAAAGGTTGTGAGTTGTGAGGGGTATTTTGGTCCAATCACTAATAAAAAGTCATATTTAAGGATGTTTAAACTAGGTACTCCTATTTTGAGAAAAAAGCCATGTTTTGATCCTATTAAGGTAAATCTCCCTAAATACACAGATAGAAAAAACATAAACTCTTTGCCAGCCCATATTTTCGATTATCAGAAAATAAACACGACACAGGATAGAAAACACCACATCCTTCACTGGAAATTATTCTCGTTGATCTTGAACCACACTATCTGCAAGAACGTGTGTCGGAGTATCTAGGGCCACATAATCCGAGGTTGTAGCTCGAGGGTAGTAAGCGGAGCAAGTTCAATACTGTTGCCGTCCATGTCTTCCATTTCGGAGAAATTAAATACTGAGTAAGAAATTTATTGAGAAATAAACAACAGATGAAGACGATGAGGAAAAAATCTGAGTAAGTATCGATGAATTGAGGACAGATGAGGGAGAGATGAGGATGCTGAATGAAAAAAAAAGGGAATATGTGGCTCTCACCTTTCATATATGAAATGTATATCATATATATGTAAACTGTAACTTCAGGTAAGTCGAGATGAAAATTGAGTATTATGCACTACTTATGCTTATGCGTAATGTAAACTTGAGATAATTCGGAAATGTAAATCGCGCTAAATGAAATATAACTTGAGACAAGTGAAAATGTTAATCGCGTTAATGGAAATGTAACTTGAGGCAAGTCAAAATGTAAAAAGTCTAATACTCCGTATAAGATACACACACATATAACTTGAACCAATGTTCGCACGCGTTCAAATACAAATAAGAATTGTTATACCATCAGGGACGGATCTAGGATTTCGAATCAAGGGGGCGAAATTTTTTCATTAGTGTAGGGGGTAAAAAATTTTCCGCTAGTGTAGCAGGGTGAAAATTTTTTCGCTAGTGTAGCGGGGTAATTTTTTTCTCTAGTGTAGGACTCTGCGGCTAATTTTTGTTCAAAAAAATTCCATGAGTAAATACACGATGACATTTAAATCTATTATATTTCATTATAATTTAGGACAATGGAAAAATAACTTTGATTTAATAATTGTTAGTGCTCTAGAAAATTATTTGAAAATAAGAAAAGATAAAACATTTTATCAAATTATTTGAAGGTACAGAGTTTAAAAGGTACACATAGACAAATGCTTTTTAAATAATTTCTGATTTGTGTAACCACATGAATCTTATCAGAATAAAGAATCGGCTTTTGAATTGCATTTTTTGTCTACGAAGGAGGGTATTCAAGGATCACGAGGAGTTTTCTTAATATTACAATAATATGTATGAGATTATTAGTTTTAGAATAATATGATACGTAATTTTGTTAATTCATATATACATGGTGCATATTATATACGGAGTATGTATAAATGCTAAAATAAGTTAAAGTTTATTATCTATGCAACGATTGTTTTTTTTACATAGTAAGAAGTAAATTGATTATGTAATTTAGTGTCAACAAACATTTATATCTTAGATTCACTTTACATCATCTAAAAACTGTCAACTATTATTGTGTTTGATATTTAATATCATTGATATTTTACAAAATTGAGTACTAATTATCTAATAAAGATAATCAAATACATTACAAAACTAAGAATTTTGATATAATAGATATCCTAAGTCTTAAACAATGAGTTGTTCTATTGTTTATTTGTTTCAATTATCTAAATTATTTTAGATTTTACCTCTTTTAAATCTCCAATTAAGTATTGCAGTGAGCTTATATATTAATTTTGAAAACTAAAAGATAAGGGTGGCGAAAACATATATATCTAATTAAATTCTGAAAATATTACATATATATTACAAAATTTTGAAAGTCCAAGGGGGGCGGTCCCCCCCCTAAATCCATCCTTAATTGTAAGCCATATTAATAAAACTTCAATTTTGAATTAATGGAGAAGAAACGAAAAGAAGAAAAATCAAGCGTCAAAGAAGGATATGACCAGGAGATAAGCGAAGAAGATCAATAGATGACTAGACAAATCGACGACAAGGAGGAATAGATGGTCGGACAACTATGCGAAGAATATGAACAGATTGCTGGAGAAGAAGATGATTATTTATTTGCACTCTTTTTTAATTAATTAAATGATATCATATTGGGACCATACACCATGCACACGGTGTAATGATCCCACAATATAATTCCCATTATCTTAGTACTAATGCAAAAAGTAAGACTTAATAAAAATATTTCTAGTTTCTATCATTTCATAAGGTAATACATGTTTACTTTAAGACAACTTATTACAAAAAATGTTGGGTGTGTATTTCGAGCTTAGGTCTTCAACCTAAATCAATAGGCTGACACACACCACTCCAAGATTGTTTAGAATTCGACCACTCATCAAGCTTAGCAGCTCTCTCTACTCACCTGTCAAGTTCACACAAAGGAGACTCACGCTAAAGAAGAATAGAAGAGAATGGTCTGCAGTATCACTCAGTTTCACGCACATTCCACGTAAGGATTCTCACCAAGGAGTCAGGCGGCACTCTTAGCTTTCTCTTGTACCACTCACTTTTTCAAAGGGGGAGAGTCAACTCATATATCAAAAGAAAAAATGCCTCACTAATCAAATAAGTCACGAGTCAAAGTAAGACAAACAAAGGGAGCCCAAACACAAGGCAACATATAGGACAACAACGAGCAAGGCCAAAACAAGGCCATGTGAGTTAGGTAATGAACATATCGAAGAGGGAAAAACAGGAATAGGGCTAACAATGGACGGGAGGTCTTAACACGAAGAAGTGGACGAAGGACAAATACCTCCAACATTCTCCACCTTATTGATCTTAGGTCGTGTAAAGTAACAAATACAAGATTATGAAGAGACTCATCATCACTGAACCATTACACGTACATCATACATATAGGCTGCGTTTGGAAACCAGCGGATTGGCCAAGCCGCCAAATGTTTTACAAAAGAAAACGCTGAGTTTTCTAGCGGTTTGGCTGCCAACCGCCAAAAAACAAACGCCATCATAATACAAGTAATAGATGAGAACCACAAAATTCTCTTTCGGACCAAGCTTACCAAAAATATGCAGTCCATAATGGACTGAACTTTATCAATGGATCATTGAGTTCAAAATAGAAACCATCACAAAGCTATTAACAATTATCACATTACCAATTTGTAAAATATGTAAATGATTAAGTAACTACTCATGTTAAGTGAATCGATACAACAATAATACTACATAATACTTAGCCACTCCTTTGAGGATTCTATAAATTATCACCCTTTTTTTAATCCATAAGAAATATTATAGGAAAAATCCCGTAAATAGTCTTACAAACAACACCAATATGTTAAAAAATCATACTCCTTATTTAGGAAGTTTTTATTCGAACTGTTTTTTAGTCCTAAACCAAACCAGACTTAATCATATTAGATCATACTTAAACAAATCAGATCGAACCAGACTTTCATAATTTTAAATACACGGAGACTAGACATTTAATAGACTAGACCAAACCAATTCATATACTCCCTCAGTCCCAAATTGTAAGATACATTTACTATTCATTTGGTCAACATAAATCACTTCTAAACTTTTATTTTATATATCAAAAGTTTATGAAGTTTGAATTATTATTTGCAGGTTTTGTAGCGGATTTAATGTAGTTTTTGAATATGTAAATTTTATTTTCTAGAACTAATTTGGGTGTTGACAGGGACCAATTTGCTTTATCGTCAGTCAAACATCGTAAACCGAAATGTATCTTACAAATTGGGATGGAGGGAGTAATACCAGATCAAACCAGACTTAAACAAACCAGATTAGAATAGTCCAAGTAAAATATCCTTAGATGAAACATTTGTTTTTTTTAATTTAAATAATTTAGGGAATAGACGTAATATTACCACGAAGGTGAGTGGAAGATAAGAACAAAATACTCCGTATATAAGAATGGAAAAAGGAAGTACCAAGCTCTACAGTCTACACCCGTAAAATTACAGCTTAAGCGGGGAGTGTTGGGTGAAAGTGGTGATCGTTTTGAACACGTATTGATGACCATCACATAAAAATGTGGTCAGCAGAATATCTCCGTGCTTCGTCACAAGCATTCAAGCAACCTTCTTTCAGCTCAATTTCCGGCCAAGCTTAGAAAGTTTAAGCGTCCTATTTCTTTACGCAAAACAGTGACTGATCCATGGCGATTTTGGGCAGATCAGTTGCGAGGTGCCGATGGAGGTTCGTGAATTCGATGCGCGGATTTTGTTTGACACCCTCTTTAGACGCAGACAAGAAGCTTGCAGCGGCTGTCCAGACCGGGCAGCCGGTCAAGGGCAGAAATGTCCAGTGGGTGTTTCTTGGCTGCCCCGGCGTCGGCAAGGGTACCTATGCCGCTCGCCTCTCGAATCTTCTCGGCGTTCCTCATATCTCAACGGGAGATCTCGTCCGTCAGGAGCTCTCCACCAGTAGTTCTCTTTCCGCCCAGGTAAACCTCAATTTCTCTGTTTTTCTAACTGCGGTAAGCTTCGCATGTTTAGATGATGTAGTTGACCCAATTTAGTTTGTTGAAAGTGACGATTGCTATTTGGCTATTTGCAATGCAGCCAATGCTTACATGCAAATTGAGCCTTTTCTTAATACGGAATAGTATATAGTTAAAAAAATCATCCCACTTAATATTAAGATGAGTCCGTACAAAGAATTTTTTCTAATAAACTTGTATACAATTTGTTTAATACATACAATATAATCAACATGAACAATTATGCTAGCAACTTGGGCATCCTCTAGTGAAGGGATCCTCGGCCCAGGTGTTGCCGAGTGGCTAGGAGGTCACAGGCTCAAGTCTTGGGAGCGGTCTCTTCTCTAAATGACAAGAGACGGCTTGATCTTATACACCCTTGTGGTGGGACCCTTCCCCGAACCTTCACCTTATGGGGATGCCAATATGCATCGGGCTGCCCATTTTTTTGGCATTCCTCTAGTGGCATGCTATCTTCATGATCTGTGGTTTAACAAGCTACTGTAGTTCTATACAATCATGATCCGTGGGGTAATATATATATATATATATTTTCATTTTCACCATATTTTATAGGGAGTATTATTTAGGATCGATGCTTTAATTTATAGAACATTAATACTTCTACCATTGTCATATACTCCCCCGTCCCGAAATTATCTTCCAAAGTACATTTGGCATGGGGATTAAGATGGTGGGTAATGTGTGATGGAGACTTGTGCTGAGGAGAGCAAATTGTGTAAAAATGGGTAAGAAATGTTGTGAACCACAAATTCTTTGCCAGGAAAGAAAATGGAAGATTATTTTGGGACAGACGGAAAAGAAAATTCGGAAGATAATCCAGGGACGGAGGGAGTTTTAAGGATTTAAGATATTAATCTTACTATAGTACTATACTTGAGAGAATCAAAAGCAATGGCATGGATTTAGTGATCTAACGAGAAAATACGATATATTAAGACTTGGATTCCATACCTTATGCGAAGGAGCCCATAATCATATATATCTATGTGTAACTTTTTAACTTTTTGATCCGGGATAGCTTAATGTGACCACAAGATCGCTCTCTGGAGCAAAACAATCTTAAATCTCAAAATTCTTATCCTTTTCCAATTTTTTCTTGATCGGTAGCTAATTTGATATTAGCAACGTCTTATGCCATTTAGGGCTAGGGGATATATGCCATTTAGATCATAAACATTAGTTTGTTTATTTATGTTTTTCAATGTTAGATGGCTTAACATGGCTCTAGTACTCTACATTAAGTTTGAGAGGTTAGGTCCTTTAGCAATATCTTTTGGTTTCTCCAGAAATCGGCATGTATAGAAGTTGTCTGATGGGTTTGGATTAATCATCTTACTGGATGAATGTTTTTAGCGAAACTATTTTGTTATTTGTATTTGCAGTTGGCAGAGATTGTAAACCAAGGGAAACTGATTTCTGATGAGATCATAATAAATCTACTGTCAAAGCAACTTGAGGCCGGTGAATCCAAGGGTGAAACGGGTTTCATTCTTGATGGATTTCCCCGAACTATAAGACAGGCGGTGAGCAGCTTTTATGCAGTAATTTTCTCAAATATTAAATTAATACCAATGGCATGTCCATTGTCCTCTAGATATCTGGCCTAGCATAAGTTCAGAACTTGTGTGGCTACATATGTAGTTATATAATCTTCACACTTATTTTTCATGTCCGTCCCAAACTTATCTCTCCTTTCTATTTAAGGAAGGTAATATGTGGCTCATATTATTCCTCTTTTTTCAATTAAATCTTAATCATACAACTTTCTATTTTTTAAAACTGCGTGGCCGGTCAAAGTCGGTGTTTATTGAAGGACACAGGGAGTATCTTTCTTTTATATCACTATTTAGTGTGATTATAAACTCTGAATTGCACAAAATATAATTGTGATGGACCCATTATGGCACTCCTTAATGTCAATGAGAAAAACACATGGGGTGCGGTTCCAATGAGAACTAGGCTTATTGTGAGAACGTGAGAACAGTCACTTTTAACCCCATGTGATGCACAATGGGGCTGTCTATTGCACTTTTTTAACTTTGATCAAATAAAGCCAATATCAAATAAAGACAGTAGCATTTTGGCAAGTATTATGCCGCGAAAAAGTGCAATAGACGAGCTTCGTTGTGCATCATGTTGGCGTAAAAGTGCTTGTTTTCATGTCCTCACGATAAGCCTGGTTCTTATTTGATCCAGAATAATAATGCATGTGTGTTTGTTTAAATGCAGGGGCGGATACACTTACATGGTAATAATATAGCTTTATAACACTATATTTTATTAATATTTTTATTAAATAATTATGGGGTGCCCCCGATAAGAAAAATCAAATGCCCCCAATAAGAAAGAGAGATTTGCCCTCATGTCAAGAACAATACGTGGAATTATTGGGTGATGCGAGTGATTTTTTATTATGTACTTCATATTTTCTTTTTATGTTTTTAGTTTTTCATTTCTTAATGTGTTTTTTTATTTACGTTTTTATTTTATATAAATATTTTTATTGTTGTAGTGTTTTTATTATAAATTTAAAACATGAAGAGAGTATATAAATTACTCATATGTTGGGAATATAAAAGGAAATAATTTCAAACATAATCTTTTTAATAAGGGTAGAATATGAAGAGAGTATATAAATTACTCATACTTTGAGAATATTTAAGGAAATAATTCCCAAAATATTGCCAAAATATGGAAAGTAGACAAAAGTGCGCCTTAATAACTTTTAGTGACCATAATAATAATTATATTCGAGTATTACATCTTAATTACTATAATAGTACCCTTATAGTCACTATGAATATAATTTCAGTCACTAAAAGTTACAGAGTATTAAATAACATTTTTGTCTATGGGTATTATTTAATTCATTTATATTTTAGGAAAAGTTCATAGAAAACTATAGTCCTATTTTTACATTTTGGAATTATTTATTTTACTTCTATTTGAGCTATAATCACTAGCTGTAGACACATTTCTTTCAATTCTTCTCAAATTTATGGTTGTTCAATGAATAACTTGGTACTTTCTTCACCCCATTCAAAGGTTCCCATTGCAAAATGTCACAATTATTCTGACAATAATTAAATATGATAATTGGAGTATATTTTAAGAAATAACTTTGATGGTTGTATCATATAATGAGGCCATTGATGATAATTGTGGTGTTATAGATATATTAGTTTTAATATTTAATGATTAAATTGTCTTTTAAGACTATTAATTGTTTCTAATGATAGAAATGAGAACCTTTAAGTGGGACTTCCGAAATAGGAAATTGAGAACCTTAGAATGGGACAGAGGGAGTATTAGAGGAGCTTTGTCATTACATGTATATCAGTGGTGCCCCCAATAACAAATTTTTCTGTATCCGCCACTGTTTAAATGTATGTCAGTATGTGTGTGTGTGCACTTACATGCAAATCTTTATCTTGATTGACACTTTACTAGATCTCTTTTGGCTAATACCATTCAAATGGCTAAGTATGAACTATGAAGTAGTGTAACATATCGCATACAGATTTTTGTAAAGACTGTTTGATTGTTTTAAAACTGAGGTATTATTCATCAGTGAAAAAACAATCAAAATATCACAGTTTTTCCGTGAAATTTGTTCTATTTGGCTGTCATGAAGTAGCAAATTGTATGCAGATTTTTTTAAAGACTGTTTGATTGTTTTCCCCTGAAATTTGTTCTATTTGGCTGTCATGCTATATGAACCCTTCAACCACATAGCACGTTCCTTATTGAATGATAAATCACTTTAACTTTTCTATACTTTTATATTGGTTCTTTCTTGATGTCAGTTGATTTGTTTCCTTTTAAACATGATAAAGAATGCTATTTATTATTTCTCTCATTTTAGTTTTTCATGCTACAACTTACCTGTGAATTAAACGATTAATGTGGATTTATATGAAAAATTAGGATCATAACTATTTTCCTTGGTGGCGAACCAATTACCACTGATTTCTGTGTAGTCCCACAGAAACGGGATTCTCAATTTCTTTTACATTTCCTCAATTCCTAACCTGCCCTTGATGTTCCTTGTTTATAACTCATTGCTCTTCCCTCTTTTGGACTCTTTGTTCTTCCAAAGCTGAAGATGTGTTGTTCGTAGCGTGCCTAAGTCTCTATGAATACTCAATACAATATACGGCATTCTAATGAAGTGTTTCATCTGAAACCAGATCATCTTAATTTTCCCGTAAGTTTTGAAATTTCCAGGACCTAATCCCCCCACCTTTGTGGATTTGATTCCTCCATCTACCAATAACCAATATACTTTAATGCAAAAGTGGCTTGTACACAGACTTTGATTTGGTTGCTTCCAGTTAGAGACTCTGTTCTTGCTTCTGTATTAACCTGGTGTACGAATATTATAAATTTACGCAGATTGTATTCTTTAATCTTGAGTCCATATAATGTGTCATGTAATCAAACCCTTTGTGGAGGCGCTCTTTATTTATGAAAAGCTTTAAAGAATGAACCAGGTCGAAGATCATGACACCTGTCATCATATTCTATGCCCAACTCCAAGCTTGAGCATTAGTTTCTACCTCCTATGTAAGTGGTTCATTGCTGCTTGCCTGCTTTCCTGAGTTGCAGTGGATGATTTCTTTGTTATTTTATCTCCACTCTCCCTTTAATGATACTTGCCATCTGTTTCCACGTTTTGAAAGAATTTCATGCTTTTTTATTTGAAAAACAGGAAATTTTAGAGGGTGTCACAGACATTGACTTGGTAATCAATCTGAAACTTAGGGAGGATGCAATAATTGCAAAATGTCTAGGGAGAAGGATGTGCAGCGAATGTGGAGGAAATTACAATGTCGCGTGCATTGATATAAAGGGAACACAAGAAAGCCCTGGAATGTATATGCCTCCCCTTCTTCCTCCTCCTCTTTGTGAATCCAAATTGATAATGCGAGCTGATGACTCTGAAGATGTTGTGAAGGAGCGCCTTCGCATCTACAATGAATTGGTATTTTACTTGCCTTCATTGCAATCCCATTATCAATGCCCTTTTCTTTTTATTTATTCATCATCATTATCAACACCACCTCAATCCAACTATTAGTGTCGGTATCAGAAAACTTATAGCATCAATTAACTGTGAAATTCATTAACACCATAATAAATTCATGCAATAGCTAGAATCACAATATTCTTCTGTGTGAAATTTGTTAAGACTATAACTTCATGCTAAAACTAGAATCACAATATTCTTCTAGCACCATGCCAGCATATTACACATGTTAAAAGCTGAAAATGGGAATGAGGGATTGTTCTCTAAAGATATAAATGTGGATGGACCCGGTTCCAGAACTTCAACAGAGCAAGTCTAGACAGGTAAAGAACCAGACCAGTTGCTGTTTTTACAGTTCTGGACCAGAACCAGTCCAAACTGGTTCCTATTCCTCCAAAACATTTGCAGGCTAGATGGTATCTGTTTTCTATGGACTAAAAAATTGGTCAAGAACTGTGGACCAGACCTGTTGTTTTCAGTTATGGGCCGCATGAATTTTGGACTCAGAGTTGGTCGTTCCAGAAAGGGAACTAAAGTACTGAACTGAATCGGACTGGGACCATCGCTAGATATAACATATATAAATAAACACATTGCACATTTAAATGTTTTTTTTTTTTTTTGGGGGGGGGGGGGGGGGATCATCCTGCAGAGCCAACCAGTTGAGGAGTTCTATCGGTGTCGTGGGAAATTGTTGGAGTTTGATCTTCCTGGAGGAATACCTGAGTCATGGCCAAAGCTGCTACAAGCTTTGAATCTTGCTGATCTTCTTGAAGACAACAAGCAAAAGTCTGCTGCAGCTTGAGTGTAGTGTTTCTGTGGTTACTGGTCATCGCGTCCATTCTTGAGTTTAGGCTGATGCATGTAAAGAAACACAATAAATTCAATTTGGTTTTTGATGTTTTATTACTCCGTTGAAGCTGTGCCTATTATTGTCTCTCACTTTTTTTTGCAACTATTATTCTTGATCCTGTAAATGTTTATCGAGCCCCTAAATGGAGCAGTCATTCATCATTCATGGATTGTTGTGGCTACGATGCAAAATCGGAGTAAATCAGCCATTGCACCCCTCATAGTAATAATCAATTCTGTCTCGACAGCTGAGCAAACAATTAAATTAACTAACCTTGGTAAATAGATAAACCTTATAGTTGTTCATCTTTACAATTTGTATAATTTGTATTAATATCATGGCTGAAGTGGTTGATTGAAAGTATAATTACTTAAAGAGAATTGCTCAGTTACATTTTTATTAACTTATGTGTTCATGTCACTCTACACAGGGCTAATTCTCATAGTATGAACTTATCTACTATTCTGCCAGTGGGCCTAGCTTAATTAGTAGATAGGGAGTGGCACAAGAGATAAGTCTCGGATTTGAATCATGGCAAGTGACAACTACAATTAGGGATGGATTGGGACGGGTCGGCCCGATACTGTGCAGGCCCGACCCGGCCAGTCGGGCGGTACCTGGAACGGTATTGGGAGGCCCGAACCAGGGATAGGGGGTGGGCTGTGGGACAGGGAAATGGGTGACCGGTCTGGGCCAACTTTTTTATTTTTATTTTTTTGGCATTGGACCGCTGCTAGGTGGGTTGAGCTGAGTGTTTTGGCGAGGTTTGGGGGTAGAAACAAATAACAAAAACCTAATTTAAAAAAAAAAATTAATTGACCTGACCCCGGCCCAGCCGGTCTCGATAGAATCTCGGGCCGGTGTCGGTCCGGGCCCGGTCCATCCCTAACTGCGATGAGAGATTATTATGTTAAAAAGTATATGACCTTTGCAAGTACCAGGACCAAAACTCTACTTGCTATCTGCCAGCTTGTTCGCTATCTGCCAGTTTGTGATTAAAGTTCAATTTATATCATCTTAGTTAATTGTATGGTTGGTGTTGGAGATTTTCAAAGATGGAGTGTCATCCTTTTTTCATTATTAACTTATGCAGTTTACAATGAGGAAATTCATACCCTTTCATTAAAATTTAAATAATGAAGGCTATAAAATTGAGCTGCGGGTTGAAGAAGGTATTTCCCACCGAATATAACCTAGCTATCAAGTGTACTGTCTACGCACATAGATGTAGGTAGGCATGGACCCGATTCGGGCCGCCCGGCCTGGGACCGGCCCGCCACTGTGTGAGCCCGGAACCGGCCCGGTTCTCGGGTCCGGGTCCGGGTCGGGCCTAGGCCCGGTGGGGTGGGTGGGTCCGGGCTCGGGCCTTGTATTTGGCGAACCGGCCCGGCCGGGTCGGGCCCGGGCCCGGGCCGAATTGATTTTTTTTTTTTTAATTTTTTTTTCTTTTTTTGGGGTTAGCCAAGTTGGGCTTGATGGTTAGGAGGGGTTTGGGGGTTTGGGGGGGGGGGGGGTGTGGGGGTGAGTGGGGGGGTTAGGAAAGCAAAAAAAAAAAAAAAAAAAAATATAACCGAACCGGAGGCCCGGCCCGGACCGGACCCGGTGGCTACCCGGGCCGGTCCCGGGCCTTCCTTCCCAAAAAAAAAGCCCGGCCGGGCCCGGAACCGGAACCGGCCCAACCCGGGTCCATGACTAGATGTAGGACATATTATAAGAAGATGAAAGCTTAGAAGAGAGATCAAAATGATGAATACTAGTAATTCAAATCTACTACGATAGTATATACTCCATCCGTCCCAATATAAAAGACACATTTGCGTTTCCACACATTTTTAGGGCGAACACTGTTTGAACACTGTTTGGCACTATTTGGACACTGTTTGACACTGTTTGACACTGTTTGGCACTGTTTTGTTTGCCAAAAAGGGAAATGTGCCTTTTATATTGGGACGGTCCGAAAAGGAAAGTGTGCCTTTTATATTGGGACGGAGGGAGTATAAAAGAGCACTATTTACTTGGAGATGAACTGAAAAGGGCGAACTGAAAATTTTACAAAAGTTTTTGATCTTGGAGTAGCCGGACTGAAATTTTACAAAAAGTTTTGGATCTGGAGTATCTAAGCAAGGAGCCCGGATATAAAAGAGGAAGATAAAGTTGTCTTCTAATATGTTAACGGTAAAAATAGATTCAACTAAAGTAATCCTAAACTCATTAATTCCATTTTTGGTCCCGCGAGTTTTGTGCCAATTCCACCTTTAGTTCACGTATTTCATTTTGTCCACTTTTGAGACTTGACTAATGTTTTTTAACCATTTGTGTTCCTTTTCCGGCGATTTTAATCATCTGAAACAATGCTGGAAGGACCATATATGGACGAAAATATAATAGTCATGTATCAAAAGCGGACAAAGTGAAAGATGTTGACTAGATGTGGAATTGACATAAAACTCGTGGGACCAAAAGTGTAATTTATTCTTATTTTATTTATTTTATCTCTTAATAAGAAATGGGCAAATCAGCACATTTAATAGGTGTGGTGATTTTCATAAATTTTCAAACTGGCCCTTCCATTTTTCTCCTAGTTAAGGGAAGTAATAATAGTATTCCCTCTGTTCCTAAATTTACTTCAGTAGTACAAATGACACACGAATTAAGAAAATGAGAATTGTGTGATGGAGAGTTGTGCAAATGAGAGAGAAATGTGTAAGAATTGATGTGAACTACAAATTCTTTGCCAAAAAGGGAAAATGAAGTTCTTTTTGGGACGGACGAAAAAAGAAAATTGGAATTATTTTTAGGGACTAATGTAGTAATTATTTATGTTTTTTTTTGTATAATAGTCTCTTTTAATTAAAACTAAAATATTTTCATATACAGAATGATGTGCATAAAACAAGACATGAATGCTCTAGTTATAGAACTTTAGCAGGGGAGTCATGGGAGTCACTGCTCATGGAGTCTTGGACGGATGGACCCATGGTAATCCAATATTGGCATGTAGAGAAGCATACTTAGGGGCTATTTTTTTTTTTCTAGTCCTTAATGGGACAATATGTCTGTCTAAATTAAGCTGTCGGTTTGGACTAAGTGATATTGAGATATCACACATTTTATTAAATTTGCTGAATCACGTGAAAATAGTGTTTGATAAAAAAATTATGTGTTTGATAAGTAAAAAGAGGATCACTAAACGGGAGCTTAATTTGGCGCAAGAAAGTTCTTTATTTCTTCCAAAATATCTGAACGTATAGGTCAACAATTTCTAATTTATCCGCTGGGCTAATCACCGAATCCTGTCTTCGCAGTTGGCAGTGGTTCACCTTCCACGCGCTTCAAACACTCGTAAGGTCGTGATATTCTTCTGACACGTGTCCGCAACCGGATCTGAGAAGATCCGCCCGAGGGCTACGAGCCCGTCTTTTGATTCATCTTCGTTCACGTAGGCCCCAGTTTCCGCTGACATGGCGAAACTAGCCGCTCACACATTGTCCACGTAATCCGTCCCAGATCTGGAATATAATATCTTCAGCTGGTACGCATCCATTTCACTCTCCCCAACTTCGGCCATCGCATTTATAGGTTTTGGATTAGACGTCTTCATCTCTACGAAGAACAGATATCTTCTTCGCTTCGATCCCTCTATGGCTTCCTTCTTCTAGACAAAATCCACGACCAATTGGTAAATTCCAGTCTCTTTTTCTCCTTTTCGCGACCCAGACTCTTGTTCATCCTGGATCCTCTTTTTTTATCCGGGATGAATTTTTTATTTCTATTTCGAGTATCTGGTTCTTTTCTGAACCAGTCAACCAGACCTTATATTTTTTTTATTCATGTTGCTTGGTAATTGGTATATGATTTTGAAGTTACTCTGGGGTTTCTGACCATCCTTTTACGATTTTTATTGTCATCTATGTTAGTGTAAATTCATAAAAATTGACTCTTTTGATTGTGCCCATCTCTGTTAATTAATTCCTCTAAGGTTGTTGTTGTTGTTGGTGTGGGATTCTATGCGTAATATGTTGTTTAATTAGTGTATTATTTGCAAAAATTATGTCAGGTTCCAAGCGAATTTAGATATTTTCCAATTCAGTTGGACAGTTGGCTTGTGGTATTATAAAAAAATGTCGAACCCCAGAACATGTCCCATCTGCCCCTGCCTAGGAGCACAGGACGACTTCATAATCATAAGTTATTTCTAGAACGCTTGTCTGTAGATATCTATGAATAATGGGTTCAATATAACTTAGTCCAGCATACTCCAGCTAGAAGGAAGGCTGTCACAACCAACACGTTATGAGTGAATGGTTTCAAACCATTTTAATATGTATAAGCCAATGTAACTAGTAACATTGATATTTGTACTTCACATAGTTTTTTCTTTAGTTTTACCAAAGAGGCCTCATAGCAAGGCGGTTCTATGTCATTTTGGCATGCTTATTTCATCTCATGACTTAGGCTCTGTGAAGTTGTGACAAATTGAAGAGTTTTATGGCATCCTTTGTTGTAGGTTTTGTTGAGGAGCTGCTTAATAGAAAGACAGACTGGCAGTCGTTTTTTTGCAACGGTATGATCAGCTTGCCTTCCCGAATTCTGAACTCATATAAAGGATGGGTGGATAAAGTTAATGAACATATTCAAAGAAACAGAAAAGCAAGTTTAATGTCTGTGTAGTGTAACACAATAACAAAAGAAACATTAGAAGAATCTGATGTATATTTTTTCTTTCTAAATTTGAGGCTTTGTTGCCAACCAAATCTGGAGCCTTGTTCAGCACTCATCTTTTTGAATCTGATTGATGACGGGAGTTTGGGTGGACGGAGATGGTCCTGCTGGTAAAGGTTCAACAATACACAATAACCAAGGCAAGCAAACTGAGCAGCACAGAGTAACGGGTGGAGGCGGAAGACATGTGGTCTCTGAGGAACATGAGTCAAGGTTCCATGAAGCTGCTGATGATAGGAATGACACACACAGAGGTTTAGTGCAGCCTGTTCTTCATACACATCAGCAACAAGCTCTGGCCCATGCGGTTCGTTGGGAGCGTTTTCTGCCTCTTAGATCTCTCAAGGTTTTGCTTGTGGAAAATGATGAATGTACTCGTCATGTAGTTAGTGCACTGCTTCGGAACTGCAGTTATGAAGGTTTGGTTCTTTCCTTCTCAATTTCTTTCACTTTCATGAGTATGATTATACCATAGTGTGATATACTACTTTTTCCAATGTATCCTATCATTTTTATCGCTAGTTGTTTGGGAGATAAAATGT